CACACACACACACACACACACACGCACACACACTGGAGCGAGTGTTCATGTGTGTGTGATTCAGCGGGTGGGCGTTTCCACAGTGTGTACGTGGGTGGGGGCACACACACACTCACACACACACCGCACAGCTCCGGGCGTTTTTTTTCTGCCTGTGCGTCTCTTGCTGTGATTAGAGCGCGGAGCCAGCGAGCGGGTGTTGAGGAACAGGAGCATAATTCTGCTGCTCACAGTGGGAAGTGGAAAGATATAACGGCACCTCTGGGATTTGGTCTGCTGGATAGCAAGCATTTTCTGATTGGCGCCAATTTTGATTTGAATAGTTTTGTTGATGTGTACATTCATAAGAGATAGAGAAAAAGCAGCGAGAAGAGTCAGGACAGGAAACTTACATAAGCCTGACACACCCCCCCCACCTGGATAAACTATTAGAATTAGGACTCCGTGTTTCCTCTTTATTTTCTTGAAGGAACTGAGAGATGTCTAACTGGCTGGACGCAGTGTGTGTGGGGCTGCGTGTGGATGTGTGGCAAAGCGCGCAGAGCCAGAAGCCACGCCATGCGCTGAATCCTCGCTAATGTGGCTCCAGTCTGCGCCTAGAGTCTCACATTACTGCTGCCACACTGCACCACACACTGTGTGTGTTTGAGTGTGTCTGGCAAGCCGGGGAGGCCACGCTGTGTCACAGTAACCCTGTTTAGCGGGAGCTCCGCGGGGTGACCGCCAGCAACACTTAGTCAGGGCCTCGCACCCACAGGAAGTTTAAGCCGCTAAAAGCATCCATGCTCTAAAAAAAACCTCATCCTGAAGCTGACCGGTTATGCGATATCAAACAAATATCAAATGGGTTGATGTTTTTTTAACCATTTATGTTTAAGATAAAAAGGGGCAAAACATTTTTTTCCTTCAAAGTGCTGATAAAAGCAGGTGTGTTCAACTAGATGAACGGGAAAACAGTACTGCGTGCAAAAAGAAACGGGTCTACACTTGGTAGAACTAGGCGCAAGACTTGAGATGAGATTAGTGTCAGGCCTAATTTAGTTCCGGTTAAGGTAAGATGAAGGTGGCTTTCCCACAATGAATGGGAGTCAGTGCGACATCTGAATAAGGCCTGTGTGTGTTCCCCACTGTGTTATTCCCAGCAGCGGAGGAATGGAACTTTAACAGGTGGTTGAAGCAAAACAGCCGTGTGGTTGGCTTAGTTGGTCAGTGATGTCATGGCCGCTGTCTTTCTAACCACTCTCACACAAACATACACACACTTGTCCCCAGGCATTGTTGTCTTACCAAAACTGAAAAGTGAAAACACCTCGCAGCACAAAGTGGCACGGATGTCTGTCAATCTTATTCACGGCTGAAGGGAAAAGAGAAAAGTGTTACGTCATCTGTCAAAACGCAAAACGCAAGTTTCCACTCTGATCAACAGGAGTTTTCACAGGAAAATGCAGACAGTGGTCAATAGCGGAGTTGTTCTTTTTTCCCCCTATATGCTTTTCTGGGTTGTGAGTGAATGTTCAGCAAACGTTGAACTTTAATGGACACAACTTTCCGTTTGAGAACCAGAAGTCCAACCTCGCCATCTGAACACACACACGGAACGGTGGAGCTCTGCCGCTATGAAAGAGGACCTGTTAATCTCAGCGGTCTAGACATGGCTGCAGCGGTGGCATGCCTCCTGCATATTTCGAACACAGTTATCGTCCAGAAATAGAAGAAGATAAGAGAGGATAAGGCTGAAACAGTTGCAACGAGGTATAAAATACTTGCTGCCATACTGGGTGAACAGCTCGGATCATGAGGGATTTAGATGCTACGGGCAAGAGCCGGAAATCTGGAGGATATGGACAATGAGTGCTGAGTCTGAAGGGAGAGACCTCCAGTGACTCATGGAAACTTGTGGAACAGCAGGTGGTCTAGAAGTTGTGTCATCACTTCTCTTTGGTTTGAACTCAGTATCATTCAGATTTGGTTTTGGCGTGCACCGTTCGCCTAACTGTCCTGGAGAACAAAGCGTCTGTCGTCGCGGGCCTGCCGGTTCCTTAGCTCGCTAGTCAACCTGACACTGACTCAGGAGGCAGGCTGTTCCCCCGCTTAACGGAGCCTTGTTTACATGCCTCGCGTGTCACACCACTTGAAAGGTGCAAGAGAGAGCAGCAAAGACGCCGCGCCAAAGACCCGGCGAGGTGGAGAGAGGGAGGGGACAGAGGTGGAAAAGGCAGATGAAAGAGAGGAGGTGAAGTGACAGTAGGAGGGATCTGAGAGAAACAGGGGCAGGATGGCAGGGGAAGTGGCACATTCACACAGGAGCCTGTCACAGGGGTTTGGGTAAAGCATTGTACCAAAATTATTTTTAGCGATGTCAGTTTTTCCTCGAGGAGCTCCAGATGTTTCTGGTTGCCAAGCAGGACAGAGTACCTTTTTTTTTTTAAAAGAAAAAAGAGAGAGCTCAGTTTATGCAATCTTCCTTTCCGTGCTCAACAATAGCTGAGCCCCCACAAAGCAGGAAGCTGCAGCTCTCATTCAGCACGAGGTCAAAACAAACAGAGGACAGCTGGCAATACCAATAAGAGTTAACAGTAGGTAAGGGAAATAGTCACCTGGATATTATTTACAGTTTGTCTACTATGGGGAAAGCTGGCCTGCTTACTTTTTTGATTAATTTTGTGCTCACAAGTTGAAACTGTCATGAGTTTTCTAATATTTGCACAAAGCAAATACGTTATTGTTTGCAACACTACTGACACGTACAGGTAAACTGAGTTTGAAGGCTGGTTGCTACCAGACAATTGGTAATCAAAGGTTTAAATGACTTTTGATCAATTGGAACTCTGCATGTTAGAAAAGACATTGATGGTTTGTGGGCTTTACCCCAAACGCAGTATTTACATGGCACAAAGAAAAACTTCTCATTGGGGGGAGTTTTTCTAACTAAACGAGACTAAAATCTTACCAACTTACAATTTTTTTCAAAACAACACCACAACAAGACGTTAGTTATCAGTCTAATTGATCATGCACGTGTTCTCTATACAAGAGAACCGTGAGGATGCTGTGACATAACCCAGAACAGAGAATCCAGTGGGGGTGTTTTCAAGGGACGATACATAAAGCTACAACATTTTAGACCCAGTGGTACATGCACTGTGTAAACCCATTCTAGTACACTCATCTAATAACATGTACATGAGTTTAACATTAGCTCTTTATGAAGAATTATTTAAACTGGCCCAATGATTGAAGCTTTAGTTTTGTGTCTGAGTGTGGGTGTCAGTTAAAAAGCAGCGGAGTAAAAGTGCAAAAAAGGGGGCAGACTTTAGAGGAAAATGTTACAATTATATGTTTCTGTTGGTTGTAACATGACTGGAAGTCATTTGAATTGTTTGACCCCTTCTTTTCCCATGACACTATGAGCAAGACGAATCTGTGGTTGAAACAGATTTGGATCTATGAAATTCTGGCTGTTGCTATACTTCCTGGACTCAGATTTGCTTTCATTAAACTGTAATCAGGGTCATTTTACAGCTCCAGTGTTGACAGAGGGAGAGATTACAGGCATATATCCAGTGACTTGGGTGCTGAATCAACTGCAGCAGTGTGTCAACAGGAACTTCTTATCTTTATCTCTGGTCGTTTAAAATGTTTTAGTCTGAATAACTGTTTATTTGGTTTTCTGGGCAGCCCAGTTCTTTGAGAATTGTCAGCTCAGTATCACCCAAGCATGCATGTTGTTACAGTTTCTGCTTTGAGCTCATATTATTTTTCTTTCACACTACCCATCATGCCTGTGTTGCCTGGGCGTGCACATCCCCAGAGTACTGGACCACCTAGAATCTCCCAGGCTCTTGGTTCACATGTCAGTACATTTTGTGGGGGGAATTTTAAATGGACAGTATGCACATGCATGGAAAATTGTAACTGACAAGGGCCCCGAGCCCTGGAACACAAGGGGGCTCCAATTCCAGAAAACAAAGAGGGCCTTGGAGACAAGTCACTATTAGAATGAAACTATTGCTGTTCTCAGTTAATGCTGCAGAGCTTCGAGCTACTTTCCAAAGTCCATTTAGGACTAGTTTTTACAAGTGAGGGGCTCTGTTGCTGTCTGCAGTCGTTGTTCTCGCTTGGACCACAAGAAGAGCATGCTGGCCCTGGGAGAATATATCCCACTTAGTACGAATGAAACAAGGAACGCCAAAGAGGTTCCTTTCTTCTTGTCTCCGAGTCATCAACAATACAACACACTCAATTTGACTTCAGTCAACAAAGATGAGGCCAGTCGGTAGTTAAAAGAGATTTGAAGTTGATGTTTTATAGGGCTGAAAGTTTTGGGATGCACACTGCTTGTATAACGCTCCATATGTCTCCATAGATAGTAAATATATGTGGTTATTACGTCTGGAGATGTTCAGTTTTTCTTGCAAGGGATCACTAAGCCTGGAAAGTGTTGCCATTTTTACAGCTCCACAGGAACCTAATTCACTAATGTTGACTTGGAGGCAGCAGGTCGACTGAACCCGAGCTGAAGATTATTACAAAGGACAGAGAAACTTCCTCGTTGCTCCTTGAGAAAAGTGAGCCTGTCACCCGGTAAGACTAGCTGCAGTTCGGAATGACAGATCAAAGAGACTGGAATAGACCAAAGACAGACAGGGTGTGCATACTGATTGATGGGTAGCTAAGTGGGGTGTGACTGATGCCTTTACTCCACTCTGAGCCTCCTAACAAAACCCAGGAATGAAGCATAATGGGAGGCAGTTTACGGCTCAGCTGGAGCGCAGCGTCAGCAGCAGAAAGTGTGGTCATTATGAATTTAGCTCCGGATTCAGTCGCAACCCAGAACTTCAGAGATTCACCTGCTCAGCATGTCAGCTGATGAGATGTGAATGGTTTTGTGCGTCTGTGCTGTAACAAGCCATTGTGTGGCGGAAGGGGGGTGTCATTTGGGCTGTGGTGAGACACGGGGTGCGAGCGTGCACGTGTTACTTACAAGGTGAGGTGGGAGCCAACCTGTTAGCTTAGCCGACACTTTCTTTTTCTGCTTTTCCGTTATGAGGCTGTGGGAAAATGAACAGGATAAAAGAGGAATCGTATCCTTTCCAGTTTGATGTCATGCATTTAAAATAGCGCTTGGCTGCAAAATGTTATCGCCGCCTCTTTCTAGTTTGTTGGATTTCGAGTGCAGTGAACTGAAGAAAATGCTAAAACATCTTCATGCATGTGTGCTCTGATGCAGGCAGTGACTGGCACAGTTAGGCTAATAGAAGTGTATCAAACTTCATTGTTTGCACGATTAAATGGCATTTGATTGCACTCTTAAAAGTTAATTAGCACTGCCAGAACTCTCCAAGACATAATCCAATGCAAAGTACATATTCAAAGTCAAAGTGTCCTTAACGAACAATTTAACTGAATTACACAGAAAATAGGAACTGTGCAGTATTGAGATATTTACACACAACTAAACACAAAAGTGCACACAGACACCACTAGATAAGCAATCTAACACAGCATATAGACAGAGAGTGGGCACTCAGTTCCCAGAATATTCACAGTGATATAGTCATGAATGTGGTCAGGTTTGTGGAGTGTCACCAAGGTGCCACGCCTGGATGTGTGTTGAAGAGATGGACTCTTAAAGCTCTGAGCCCACGATTTGTTAACTCTTCTACTCTCTCTTCATCTGTCTTTTCAGCCGATTGTGTATGAAGGCCAAGATAAGAACCCAGAGATGTGCAGAGTCCTGCTGACACACGAGATCATGTGCAGGTGAGACGAGACGCCTCAAATCTCTCCATTATTAACAGTTTTTTTTCCTTTTTTACCTCTGCAGTACACATTTCTTTTGTGGAAAATTCTCATCAATCACTTCTCCGTATATTTCTTCCTCTGTCACCCTTATTAACCCCTCCCCACATAACTTTACACACCCGATGACACGCACACACATACATGTGAAACCAAGTCTACTGAGGATGATGGGTTTGTGCCCTCGTAGTTCTGGCTTTAATTATAATCTAAAGATGAATTTCTTTGGAAGTAGGTTGAGAGGAAAGAGGTTTATTTATAGAGGCATTTTACAAAACTATCCTATACAATAGGAAATGTGTGTGCGGAACCATGCTCGGTTAGTGTGTTTGTATGTGTGTATCCGTGTGACGCCTGGTTAATTAGGACACAGAGAAACTCATTAGTCAATCTGAACCCTTCTGTTGTTTCGTGGCTAACAAATGGGCCTTCCTCCACAATCTGACAATAAAATATATGCAGGGACTGACTAAAATACACACACACACACACTTACGCACACTTACATGGTTATTTAAACACACACAAAGAAGTATGCATGCACATGCACGGCCCAGCATACCACAGTAATAAAAATTCAAATTTAGCACATGAATTAAGTTGCTGTTACTCCTCGACCTTGTCACTGAAAAAGTTTAACTATAACAATATAAATTGGGGTTCATCTATATGCGCAAGCAGGGATTTTAGCAGTGAAATAAGGCCCTCTAATGTTTAATTCTATAGCTTGCTGAATATTCCTCAGGCTTCACCGCCGCCGAGGCTCATGAAAAATCCATTGAAACTCTGTGATTTACAAGAAATGTAGAAATAAGCTGTATTTTACTACGGATTTTACTGTAAAGTATTGCAGTTTATCATTCGGGGAATGGATTGTGAATATAAACAGTTTTCGGGTCCACACACAGCACAAATCATGTCACACAACACACCGGGCTCCACACGGCACTGCAGGGTGTTTAAAAGCTTTCCACCGGGGGAGCAACAGCTTAAAGAGTACAGCTTTTTTAGCAAGGGTGAGCGCGTGGCCATGTTCATCAGCAGCTCAGGTCAAAGTCACGGCTAATGCTCCATGTTCTCACATGCTGATTCTGCAGCAGGAGCTCCACACACAGCACAACAACAAAAAATTGAAAGTGTGCGCACACAAAGAGCTCAGGGCATCCATTAATCAGTGCGGCCTATTGTCACTGTGGCGCTGTTGGCCATATGCTCCCAGCCAATCTGCCGCCTCTCAAAACGGGAGAACTGGATGATGCAAACATGTGAAAGGTTTTATTTTGAGAGGGGTGTCTCATGTGTTTTTGTTTTCCACTAAAAAACAAAGATTCCAGAGAAAGTGTGTGACAGCACGAAATCGTGTCAAAGACTTTTGTGGCATTGAAACAATTGTTAAAAAATCAGAATGTGATAGTGCATAAAAATAATTATGTTTGATTTGATTCCTAACACATTTTCATCATCTGGCCCGAAATTGAGTGATGAATCCCTTAGGCTGAATTACATTAAAAACAGATGTGTTCTGGTTTTGGGGAGAACGTTTCAGGAGCATTTTTAAAAACCTTTGACTCTCATTGCATCCATAATAGCCTGCTTTCCTCAATCATGATCCGAGTTAGAAAACACTGTCCTTTGGCGCGACCATCCTGCCTTTTGTTGATGATGATGATGATGGCATGGCTGTATATCTGTGTGACGCACCACTGATGCCACCCATTGTACATTTGTTGCTGGGTGTCTTTTGAGGGAAATACTCTACATTCCAGTGTGATTTTATTCATTTTGCATCCATGCAGGCCAGCTTTCTTTAAAAAAAAAGAAAAGTGGTGGTGCCTTCCCTGCATCACCTTGATCTTCAATCCTAAAAAAATTATCTGAAGCAAAAAGAATGAATAGAATCAAATGAATCCAGCATGCCCATTTCAAGTGTCATTTTTTTCTAGTGAGGCACTGATGACATCTTTATTAGACCATGTCGCTGCTTTGTTTGTACATTGGAGAGAAACACAGCAGACCCTGACAGTGGAGGGACTAGAAACTTCCGAATGCATGAGTCCTTTTTTCTTTTCCCCAGTAAATGACCGGGAATGAAATTCTCTTCAGTTTCACATGCTGTTCAGAAACCAAAGCTATACTTAACACCACTAAGAGTAAGAAAGGTTAAATTGGCCTCTCCAGCTCATGCTGTTGAGACTATTGCTCAGAGGTTGTACGTGTGTGTGTGTGTGTGTGTGTGTAGGAGGGCGAGACGCAGGGAGGGAGCAGATGATTAGATCACTAGGATCCACAGCAATAAGTGCTACATTATCCCCGTTCCCATCCCTTGTTTTTCCTTTGCACCACCCCCTCCATTTATAAAATCTTCCACTCTGTTCCCTTCTCCTCTTCCTCATCCGTCCACCCTCAATCCCCCCCTCTTCGGCCCAGCCCCGCCACCTCTCGCACGGTCACCCATCCTTCCCTGCCCCTCCACTCCTCCCTGCACACTTCCCGCTTCCCTCTTTCCCCCCCCCCGTTTCCCGGGCTCCCTGCTTTTGTTCTACCTCAGCCGCTCGCTGATGCCGCGCTCTTCTGCGAAAGTTTGCGAGCCCTGACCCAGTTCAGAGCGCAGCCGAGTGCAAGCGGCAGGGCGAGCAGAGCAGATACTGGAGACAATGACTGAGGTGTAACGTATCGCCCTCTTTCTCTCCACCTCTACCATCTGTGACAGTGAGAAACCTGAGACGTCTCCCCTTCCTCTCCTTCCCAGCCAAAACCGCTCTCTCCTCTCCTCCCCCATCCCCCCCTCTTGTTTTCCCTCCCACGCTCACTCTTTCATGCCTCACTGCTGCTCCACCCTGTCTTCATCCTCCTCCCTCAGACTTACACCTTTATTCATAATTGATGACAGCAAAGAAAGCCTCTTTGACACACTTGTAGTACATATGTGTGAATTTTTGTGAGCCAGCCAATTTCTTTGGGCCCGTGGTGTAGTTTGTGTCCCACCCACATGTTCTTTGAGCTTTTGTGCTCCCCACCCTCAAACTCACCTGTTCATAAGCATAATTCAGTTCCATTCGAGGCTGTCCTGACCAGGTTTTTAAGACGTGCGTGGGCATGCTTAAAATTCTATTCGGTTTAACGTTTTCTTTTTAATATATATATACATATATATATGTATACTGTATATATTTCCATTGAGTGACGCTTTTAAAATTCCTATTTAAACAGAAGATGAGGCCAAAGTCATGAATTGTACAGATTAAATACACTGAAAATACATGCCTAATATTTTGAAGCCCTCCCCTCATACCACCAAAACAGCTCAGTATCCAGTGCAGGCTGCTGAATCTAAAGCTGTTCCAGTGGATGCACCAACTGATTTTGAAATCTGAAGGCCAACAGGGCCACCAGGGAGCATTATCCTACTGAAAGAGTGAAAGAATGTGGTGTTCACATGAAGCAATGGTGCACCGCAAGCACGTCTGTCTTAGTCCATCTTAGACTCCAAACCAACCTAGTTATTTCTTATGTATGAAAAAAATCAAGGATTCAAGGAGTTTTTATTGTCATTTCAGTCCACACTTCCATGCACTGGGACAAAATTTGTTACACAAGATTCAGCAGTTACCACTAAAACAGACATTAATAAGGCACAAGGAATAGAAAAATTAGATACATTAAAATGGAAATTCTAGTGTGTGTTCTTATTGTGTCCTGCTGGACTCAGTGATGTCAGGCAGTGTGAGTGACAGGTTACTGTGTGCTTAAGGCTTATTACAGAGTTGTACGTGATGTTAACAAAGCTGCTAAATGTCTTTTTTGTGCTATTTATAAAGCTAATACTATATAAGAGATAAATGAAGAAGTGTCTGTTTACAAAAGAAGAGGAAAATGTCCCTAACCTAAACATGGTGAGGAAAAACAGGAGAGGATATGACTGTACCCACATGAAAACTCAGTACTTCACACTGTAACCTGTGAAGTGCACAGCAGCAGAGCGGTAATGTGCTGACTTTGCAGAAGTGGCTCAGTAAAGGCGATGTACGCTCAGGTGTAACGACTGAGGTGCACATAGGTCCAGTTTGTGTCGCTTCACATATAGTCCATCAAACTGAGAACTGGTCTTGTTCACATTAATACAGAGGCTGTGCCTCTGAACCAGGTCTCTATATGTTTTTCACCTCTTCACTGTTATTTGGATTCATCATTGTTGAAGGTGCGTCCAACCACTGCTGTTTCGTCCACAAACTTGACACCACGCTAGCCTGAGTCCATGGTGGAGCAGCAGGGTGAATGTGAGGGGGCTCAGCACACAGCCCTGGGGGAGCCAGTGCTAAGAACGAGGGAAGTGCACGAGAAGTCATGGACATTGTTCATCTGAAAGTCTTGTAGCCAATTTCAGAGCGATGTGGTCAGTCCAAGTGTTTGTAGCTTCAGCACAGGGATACACCGGAGGACTTAGTTTAAAAAAATGAATGCATTTTAGCAAATTCTGGCTCTCACAGGGCTCAAACTCAAGCCTTTCCGCTGCTGGTTTCTGAACCGCCGTGTTATTTTGCTCGGAGCAAATGTTCCTCTCTGGTGATTCTGAGGTACGATTGTGTTGGATGCAGCTCCTGTGGCCGCAATAGTTCCAGCACCGTGAATGCGCTTTTGTGCATAGCTCACAGCATGGTGTGCTCCCAAGTTGGCTAGTTCCTCTAAAACCTGGTATATTTCTTTCATATACTGCGATGCACTCACTTTCTGTACCATACTGGAGTATTTTTAGCAGTGTTCTCAGTTTAGATCTGCTCGACAGCCTTTCAGAAGAACTCCTGTTGGCCTGTTTTCAACTGATTTGATCAAATGTGAATTTGATAGTAAGTTCTGTATCAGCACTGTCAAAGCACATAATGTGCCGTAGCATTCCAATTTGAGAGTCGAAATTGGAACTTTAATATATTGTACTGAATGTTCTCTGTGTCAAACTCACTTTGCCCTGTGTCTTCTTCTTTGACTCCCTCCTCTTAGTCGGTGCTGTGACAAGAAGAGCTGTGGAAACCGTAATGAGACGCCCTCAGACCCCGTTATCATCGACAGGTACCGACTCTCACTTCATCCCTCTCTCTCTCTCTCATTCTCACACTCACTCACAGCCAGCACAGACCAGACACAGGCCTGGACAGGGACTGCGTGGTCCTGTTTGACTGGCAGCGTGAGATGGGATGTTTGTGTCTTTAGATGAGATGCCGCCACCCCCGAAATAGAGGCTCTTTAGATTAAATCCGTGGCCTCTGATGTGAGATAGGGGGAAACATTAGAGGCTCAAGCTTCGCATTTAAGCAGCAGGACTCATTGTTTGAAACGAAAGTGGCAGCATTTAAATGCTCACACACAAATGTGGATCCCAGCTTAGAAGGAACGGCACACATCAACACTTAAGCACACCTTCAGACTTGAGTGAACAAACAGAACTAAAATGAGCGTGTTTCCTCTGCGCATTGCAAAATACAAGCTGCTTCCAAGCAAAACTGTCTGTCGCACTCCTTTTGCATCTGTCTGTCTTACTTCCTGCCTGTCTGTCACACTGGAGGACTGAAGTTATCCCTCCCTTATCGCCCATCCCACCCCTCTCTCTGTCTCTCCTGCAGAAGCACAGAAAAATGGGTCACGAGCAAAGAGAAAAAGTGACAGAGAAAAACTAAAATGAGATCCAACCTCATTTTAATCTCATTTTGATTTGGCAGTTGTTTTAACCCTGTATGAGCAGACATGTTGGTGTGTGTTGAGTAAGTCTCGGGGAGAGGAGTGAAGTGTTCTCATCACTGTCACCACGTTACTGCCAAACACGCTTTGTGTTTTCACACAAGCAGCAGGATATAAAACACACTTCAACTAACTCTGCAGCATCTTGAATTAATGTAGATTCACATCAAAGAGGCTTTATTTTACTTTTCACAGTATGGCCAAAAATGTCAAACTGTGCTGCGCTAATGTTTTTTTATTTTTTATATTCAGGTCAATGTCAAATGTATATTAATGCCACCGCTAAGCACATCAGGTAAAAAAAAAAAGAACTGTTCTTAAAATATTTTCATCTAGTTTTCTTTCTTATCTAATCAAATCATATGTTCCAGTGCATCTTACTTGTTAGGCTGTCTTTATCAAATATCTTACTCAAATATCATTCACTCTTTCCATGAATTATTTACCCATAAACAGAATTCTCTATATTTGTCATGTATGATTACACAGTAGCAGGGAGACTGTCATTTCTTCTGCCACCAAACATTTTTAACCTAAAAACACTTTCACTCTCTTTGGTGCCTATCTATGTAATAACTGGAACATCATAGTTGCTTTTGGGATGTGGGTTTAAAAAAGATAATGAGAGCATTTGATCACATGATAAGTAGTATATACCTCAGCATGCACAATGCATCACTAGCATTCCTGTTTTCTCGGAAGTTATTTACTCAAAAATATAATAAAGAATACCTATAAAGCATTTTATAAAGCATTTATAGGTGATGTATTGCACAAGACATGTATAAAAACCCTTTGACATTTCATTTGTCATCATGGGGACTGTGATGATTGAGAGTTATGTATAACATTGTGTGTGTGTGTTTATGAAGGGTAACATAGTATCTCTATACCACAGCCCCCTTCTGTTTTTGTAGGCTGTCTCAGACATCTCAACTTACATCCCATTATACATTTGCCTGGAAGGTTGGAAGGTGTGTAAGTGTATGTGTGGATCTGTGTGTGTGTGTATGTGTGTGTGTGTGTCTCTGTGTGTAGATGGTTGTTGTGTGGGCTGGGCTGCTGGAAGAATAGATGATATATTATACCCAAACTAGGAAAATAAAAGATACTAGAAATAATGTGTGTGATACTGGACTGTTTGGAGCATTAATGTTCAATGGCTGTTAGTATATGCGTGTGCGTGGACAAGCTAACGTGTGTGTGTGTGTGTGTGTGTGCGCGCGTGTGTGAGTGTGAGAGTGTGTCATTTTCAATGGCTGAAAGAGCAGCAGAGTGAATTCTGGGAGATGTCAGGGAACTTGGTCAGGATGGAATGTCAAGGTTACCGTGGATACCGTGGGATACTTCCTGTTGCCCCCTCCACTTTGCAGTGGTTCACAGCCTCTTGGTACAACATCTGGAACTCTGCTGTCTGACCCAAACATGTAAAAGAGAAGAGACTCACAAGTACTCCTTTAAGTCTGTCACTGATTGTAAACACAAGTAAAGTCCAAAACATATCTCAGGCATCTCCCTGTAGGCTACATTAATGGCACATCTGAAGAAAAAGAAAAAAAAGCACAGTTAGTGAAAAGACTAACATCTCCATCAATTTGTCAGCTACTGTGCAACATTATGAGGAAAGAAACTCAGAGTGAAAAAATGCAAGTAGACACAGAAATGCTGCCTAAATCCTGGGTTTTCACAGCAGATGTGGAGTATCATCTGACTCATCACAGCCGTAAATACGTAAATCATGCACTTTAGCTTGTTTTCCTACTCTAGATAGTTCATGAGCAGTGTGCACCCATTTTAGTGGATATCTCCATTGGCAATATTTTTTCACAGCTCTCAGCACCATCATTCTCACCGGTGTCTGGGCTTGAATGACAGCAGCTGGTAGGCTTTGCCCTGACTGGGGAAGAACATACAAAGTAAACAAACTCGCCACATCTTACAGGCTGTCAGCAAACAATGGATTGTTTGCAGTGGAACTGAAAAAAACAAACAAACAAACTACATGTTAGCAGAACGCCAACTGGAGAGCTTATTCACAATTTAGGGTTAGGGTTAGGGTTAGAATGGATCCCAATGAGCAACCAAATTTAACAGGACCTTTCATCAAAATCAATTTTTTGGCAGTAATTCTGCAAAAAAAGAATCTCAGTCTTCTGCTTTGTCTCAGTAAAGACCATATTGCTTATTGATTTAAAATTTCACGTTTTCAGAAACTATTATGAGTTTAAAAAAATAAGAGAATCCGACAATTACTGATTCCAAAAATTCTAAGATCCATTTCTCTCTTATATTTGCACCTATAAGCCATGCAAAAATCCATGTCTTTCTTTTAAGGTTAGACTACAATGCAGCATTTTTTCCCTAATGTCTTAAAACCTGCTGTTGCTGTCAGTGAGCAGTAGGTTGACCCACACTGAAGGGAGATGAGCTGTTGTGGAAGGTAAATGAAACATAGGTTCCAGAAGCAAGTACATTTTTTGAAAGTCAGACTGCGCCATGAGACAGAAATGTGACACATCAGAAGGCATGTCAGAGTCTTTCTCTGCAAATCAGTGAAATAAAAGGTTCAGGTTTCTGACAGCTTCCAATGACTTACACAGACCCAGCTTCTTTACAGTAATAATATATGCCATGATGTACAGTACAGCACTTTAAAATGTCAGCCTATTCAGGTCTGTTCCTATGACCCCCCCAATGTTTGTGAATAGCACGAAGAATAAAGAGAGTTGTCTGTTTTTTAAACTGCAAATAATTCATTTTTTCAACATAAAAAATATTAGATTAAGAAAAATGTATTTTGCAGTGAAACAACTAAAAGGAGCATCTTGTGTTTATGGCACTGTAACAAACTCTGCTCTGACCATGGCGTTTCTCTGTGGGGACAAACAGATGACGGAGTGGGAAAAGGGAATTTCTGCCTGTGACTGACAGCTCATCGCATGGTGTCAGTGAGGATGTCAGTCCAAGTGTGCGTTTGTGTGCCCGTGTGACTGACAGCTAACTCATCATTCCGTGTGTGTATGTTTCTATGTGTGTGTGTGAGAGAGACAGAGAGAGAGTGTGTGTGTGGCCCAGTTAATCCTTGTTGTGGCACAGTAAGTGTCTCACTGTTTCTCAGGGTTAATATAGGGTTAACGACATGCAACGATATCCTATCATACGCCTGCTTGACTCCTAAAGAGCCACATCCACTCTCCTCTCTGAGTGCGTGTGTGTGTGTATGTGTGTGTGAGTCCTCCATTCAGATTTGCCTTTCAAAGCTCGCTGTCTCTGGAACCACATCCCCATCGTCGCTTATTTTTTTTCCCTTTCTTCTCCAATCCACGTCCCCCTCCTGCACTTCTCATTTCCTCCTCTCTCCTGCCATTCCTCCGCATCTCGCATTCTCTCTGAATCGCTCTCACCTCTTTTTTTTCTTGCCTTTCTTTGGCTCTGCTTCAGTCTCCTCGCGGCCCTCCGGGGTTACCTACCTCACTGCTTAGCTTGCAACACGTTTAGATTTCAACAATTGACTTAACAAGCTGGGGCTGTGTGCGTCTGTGTGTGTGGTTTGCGGGGGGGTGGGGTTATGGTCTCGGGCAGCGTGTGTTTGGGGCTTAGATCCATGTCAGGACGTGAGGAGGGCAGTTCCAAAGTGTGTCTGTGTTTGTGTGTGTGTGTGGGTCTTTGTGTGTGTGTGTTATGTGAGCCAGTGTGTGTCGTCTAAGAGTCTAAAGGGGCCCACATAAGCCTGAGGGTTTAAGGGGTTCCCTGTCTGGCTGCATGGGTGTGTGTACTCCCGGGAGTGGGGGGGGTGGGGGGGGGGTTAAGAGGGTCACAGCTTGAGCAAGAGATGATGGGAACAAGGAAGGGATGGAGGAACGGTAGGACCAGGGGGCGACCACGATGAGACAGCATTTAGGGAGAGGAAAGGCAAAAGGGGCGAGGGAGGAGGCGGGGGAGTGGTGAGGCAGACCGAGGTGAGAGGAGGAGGAGGAGGAGGAGGAGAGGGAGGAGCAGAGCAAGGCTTGTTTGAGGGGGATAAGAGCCTCAGTCTGGGGAGTCCTGTCAATCAGCGAGCATTGGTAAGAGGAGGCGGGGGTGCTGTCAATCAGCTGGAAGGGGAGGGTGGGAGGGAGCAGGAGGGGTGAAAGTGAAGAAAGGCGACAGAGGGATCTTCTAAACGATGTCTTCATCTTCTCCGCCTTTGTCTTCCTCACTCTCTCTCTCTCCCTCTCTCTTTCTCTCTCTCTCTCTCTCTCACTTGTCCCAGTTACCAAAATATCTCTGCCAACCTGGAAAGTCACTGTTCACTCAGCTGTCACCGTCTGACATGTTCACACACACACACACACACACCCACACACACACACACACACACACACGCTCATAAAACAGATTACGGGTGAATTTCCATCCTCCTTTCATGAACTGTCCTCGTTGCTCTCTTCCCTCATTGCCCTCCTATCTCTCAGATATTCTTTCGCTGAAATTTAAACGGGGATGGCTTCACATGACCACAGTTTGGTGCATCAGTCAGGTTCTGCTACATGCTCTCCAGTCAGATGTTACGCCATTTAACAAAAAAAAGATGTGAATGGGTATGAAAGTGAATTAACAAAGCAGGTCTGACGATGGAGTAGTTTTTACAAGTTAAATAACGAAGTTGGAAGAGATTACATGATTACACAGAATGCGAAGAATTAGCAAAGGTGTCTTTTTAGCTTTAGGAAAGCTGCATTCCTTTGTCGTGTGGCACAATTGCAACAGTAGCACGCTCCCCTGCAATGAGCACAAACAGAAAGTAATGTACAAGAAATACTAAATTGAAAAACTGGAAAGCTGGTAAATAAATGTATACACGCTAACGATGAGACGCCTGCTAAATCTGACCACGCTTTCATGTGTTGCTCCGTCCCTGCCAGTGGGAATATCCCCGCTTTCTTCTATGTCGCAGCGAGCCAGAAAAAGGCCATTTTAATTACATGTTGTGGAGTTTGCATTAAACATACCAGGTGGATTAAGTGCTTAAATGCAACCAAATGGCAAAAAAAAAAAAAGAAAAGTTAAAGTCATGGTCGGAGACAATGCTTCTTGGATGTCATCCGTGTAAACCCACTTTCACACTTTAGTGCCCACTGAAGCAAACTTTTCTTCCGCTCGTTAAAACCGGTGAAAAACACTCGAGAGTGTACAACGAAGGCCTCTTCTCTCTTACTTTCCCATCTGTTCCCACCGAAGCAGCCGTGATGCCTCGATTACTTTAAGTGGCTTTGTGTTTTGTGTACTTATCTTTCTATGCGCATTCTGTCAACATGCGAGCGGGAGCGCAGCTGCTGGAAAGTCTCTCCCTTCATCTCATCTTGGCAACTCTGAGTTTTGTTTATCGCAATGGCAGGATTCACCCGGGTCAATATCTTGTTTAGCACACTTTTCTGGATCGAAATCAAAGACGAATTTGAAAAAGTTGTTACATATCTACCGCGTGGTGGATCTCCGTTCTCCAGGGTGCTCAGAAATGCCCAAAACAAGAACAATTCCTTCACTTGTTGAATCCAGTTATTTTGGCACCATTCTGTCCCCTTTACTCATTTTCAAATATTTTTGTATCACTTCCTGTGCTAAAGACCCGCAACTGCATGAGATGAAGCGCAGTTGGGAATTATTCATACGACTTCCATAATGCCAGCATTCATTTTGTTCAGTGCTTTTGTGTGTATTTGTGAGCGCGCGAACGTGAGATTGTGTAGATGAGAGAGGGAGGAAGAGGGATATAACGGTATGTTTTATTCATTTCTCTCATTTAGTGTCTCAGTGTGCACCTGTCCTAGCATTTAGAAGCTCAGAATTCATTTTGCTTGCTGATTTGGTTTAACTGCCTCCCTAATGGGCACACACATGCACACAGTAGTACACAGAGTAGTTTATTTTGTTGGCTAAGTTTCCTCAACTAATGATACAAAACTCACTCAGAGCTGGAGGATTATAAGTTCTGTGCTTATTTTTGTTTTGCTTATTTGTTTGTTTTTAGTCATCTCATGCTGTTTCTTTTCTGTTACTGAATGTTTGTCTGTCCGTATTAGATTAGAACTGTTTGTCTTTAATTGTCTCTTCCTTTCCATCCCCCAACAAATATGTAATGTTATTTTATTTGTATATTTGTACGTTTCTTTTTCGTAGTTGTTGATGAGGAAAGAGGAACAGAGCTGAGGGTGGTACATTTTTCACTTCATCTCTACGTCTCTGTGCTATAAGAACAAGGCAGTAGATAGAAGTTTTAAAATTGCCTCTGGGCATGACTGGAGAGGGTCCACACAGATGTGTAAAGTGTGTATGCAACCCCCTCCCATAAATGCAAAAACTCACACACATGCACACACACATGCACACACACCCTTTTCCTTTTTCTGTTCTCCCTGTTTCCCCCTCTTTCCCCTCTCTCATCCTCCCTTTCCTGCCTTTCCGTTCCTGTGTCCCACTTTTTAGCTCATAACACACAAACACACACACGCACCCGTAGACAAGGATCACGTTACCCTAAAAGCTACAAACACTAATACGATGGCCTTACACTCACATTTTCCCATCTGTTCCTGCTGAAGCTGATGTGATGAGTGCTGTCAAAAACTGCTATTTATTGGTTAGATCGGTCCTCAGGATAAATAAAAGTTAAAAAAATCCACAGTTGCACTGCATTGTGGACAATGTTTAAAAATAAGTACACGCATTTTGTGACAAAAATCCCCAAAATATAGGTTGATCCAAAGACCTCAATACATCAGTAGTAAAATTAGACTTTGCATACTTACAGATTCTCTGTAAAAGTGCAGCTTATATGTGCTCTAATCTGTAATGTCAACATATTCATTCTAAAAAAAAAAAAGACAAATTCAGAATAACAGGAAGAGGAGGTCGTGTGCTTGCCAAACAATGTAGAAGTGGGATACTTTAGTTCACCACTTATTACTCTCTCAAGAAGCAGTCCTAGTCCCAAAACAAACCCACAACCATCTGTTACCACAGGCAGACACACCTAGACCGACATTCAAATTAGAAGTGACTTCTGGCCGTGATGGAAGATGTTGCATGTGATGTGTAGAAAACGCATCAATAAGGAAACAAGTTAAAGAGCAAAGAATATTTCTTAGTTCTAAAAATCGTGTTTTTAAACCCTAATTTGAGGTCTAACCCTAAACAGAGAGCCAGCTGTTGTTTTGGGGTTTTTTTCTTTCACTTTTTTTTTTAGAAGTTAAAGAGTCTTCTCAGCTGAGCGCTGAGCGGGATAGCGCCATCTGCCCTCTCTGCTTCCTCGGTACGAGCAGCTTTTGGCTTGTTAAAAGGAACACCTGAGAACCATGTTTGCTCCGGTTAGATGAGTCGTATTTTCCTCCAGCTGTGCAGCCCACGCTTTAGAAGATGCCATTATTGGTCGAATGCAAGGGTAGGGACACATTCATCTTTTTACTCCAAACTTCAGGCTGAAGTGAAAGCGGCTGCGGGGCAGGCGGACGAAGGACACCGCCATCAGTGAAATCGGACACACTTGCCCAGCAACCCATTAAATCTTTCAAGCTTACTGCCATGAAATTTCATACAGACATCTTTTTTTGATAGAAAATCCAGTCAAGATATGGGCTACACGGGTACACCTGACTGAAATAACCTTAAGCCTTGAGCCTTTTTGCTCACTGTGTATTCCTTTTAACAAGAAATTACATGGAAAAAGAACCCCTACAAAAGTTGTTTTTTTTTTGCTCAATCTTTTTACACTTTGTTTAATCACAAATGAACTGAGTGACTAATCAACCTTCTGTCTGAGTGATTTACTGATCAATCAGCAAAGTCACTAATTAGCTCAGAAAGTGAATGTAACCATTGGACCTGCTTCAGAATGTGTCTGGCAAGCTAACACAGGACTCGCTGACGTCCAGTGTGTGTTTGTGTGGTATGTGGATAACCTCCCGGTGGGCGATGATACTGTGGTTAAAGGCCTCTGGGTGCCTGCACAGAGATCTCTCTTACGTACTCCCGTTACTCGACAGCCATTAGTCTCTCTCCCTCTCTCACACACCAGAAATCAAGGGGGAAGAACACAGTGGCTCATTCACGATAGGTGGCAGACGGAGCCGCGTGCGCATGCGCGCGCGAATATCTTAAGCTCTGTCATTAAAAGGCAAACAAATTCAGTTTATCTGGAAACTCCCTGCTGACTGCACACACACATACTCACACATACACTTACACACACGTGTGTTAACAGACACTCCGATGCGAACGGGAATTTTCCCACTACCACAAAGTGAGCTGGTGGTTGGAGGTGTTTTGGAAGGCTGCGCAGGACTGTGTTTACTTACTGTCCTAAAAGTTTGTACAACTGTAAAAAGGAATTTGTTGAGGAGAGGAGAGGAGTGGAGTGGAGAGGGGAGGAGGGTACAAATGTGCCAGCCATGCATCATTTCATTATTAATAGCCGTGTCGGGATAAAAATGCTAACTTTGTCTGATCCAGCGGACGGCTGAGTCTGCAGGCGCTGCACTTCTGTGTGCGTGCTGGAGGGACAGTGGTCCAGAGTGAGGTTTTGTTTCCCCTTTGTTAGGCCTGCGCGGGGCGAGGTGGTGAAGTCATCGTAACCCGCACAGGTATAAATATCTGTCTGTGTGTGTTGGGGCAGCGTTTCCCGTGCAGAGCGCAGCAGGAAGAGAGCACCAGTATCCCGCGGAGAGGGGCATTGTTATCTGCCTCCGAAACACACAAATGCATCACCCCTCCCAGAATCAGCTGCCTGATCGGCGCACCGTCTTTGTCGCCACAGCAACTCGCAGCACACGCCCAAACAAGAACAAACAAAATGCACTGGCCTGCTTCAGACTAAGAAAACCTCCCTCCGCTCGCATAATTGTGCCCAGTCAGGGTTATATCGCAACACATGCTACATGTTCATGGTTTGATAAATGGACCGTCGCAGCTTTGAGACGGGCTTCTTTCATTTTTGTTGTGCTGTTGAACTCAGCCACACATGCACGCGCGCACAAACACACACAAAAGGCTGGAGAGCACACTCCTATGGAACTGCGGAGGTGTAATTTGTCAGACAGGAAGCTTGCAGGGTCAGAGGTCATAAAGCACTAATCGATTAGCCGTCAGT